TAATTTTTTACTTTGCACGAGACAAAAATTAGGTTGTAGGCCGAGATGATTAGATCTCTTCCTCATACTTAGAATTTGCAATACACCCACAAAATCTTTTTTAGAAATTAAAAATTTCTCATAATTTTTACTCAAAACCAGCAGCGCGGATATCCACAAACAGTAATAGGTGGACAACAAAATTGTATTACCTTTTACAGGAATTTTAATTGGAGATGATAGAATGGATATATCTGAAGATTGAGCGACTCAAAGTGTAAATTTTCTACCATTTTTAATGTTTCTTCAACTTTGGCATTTAAAATTTTTTTGTAAGGAATGGTATTATTTTTTGACATGATCTTTCTAGTGCCATCTATTCTTAGCAAAATAAGCTACTAATAAATAAAATTTTCCAAAGAATGCTTACGGTATGATTTTTTAGTAATTGTACATTTTTTTTGTGACATTTTCACATTTTTTAATTTTACATGTAGCAAAATTGGAATTATATGTCAAGTAAACAAGCATTGCTTAGTGTAATATAAAATGGGGTACAATACTAAAAAAAAATCGTACCATTTTCATTACCATTACCATTACCATTATATATACCTTTTCGCGTGAACTACCAACATGAGAGCCAAGGGATTGTTGAAGGAATACGAGGTCGTGGGCCGCAAACTGCCCAGCGTGAAGGAGCCCCAGACAGAGAGGCAAGATGCGCATCTTCGCCCCCGACAACATTGTTGCCAAATCCCGCTTCTGGTACTTTTTGCGCCAGCTGAAAAAGTTCAAACGGACCACCGGCGAAATCGTGTCCATCGAGCAGGTGTACGAGACGTCGCCCATTAAGATCAAGAACTTTCGCGCTCGTGCTCACTCCATCCAGATCAACAAGGTGGACGCTTCGCGTGCACGTCAAGCAGCTTCACAATTCCAAGATCTAGTTCCCACTGGTACAGCGTGTCCATCACAAGGACAACAGAAAGCTGTTCTCGTTCAGAAAGCAAAGCTCGTTCCAGTAAAACGGAGGATATCCCCAGCCGAATGGAACGTGTGCCCCTAACATTGACTCAGCGGTTTTTTTTTTCAATATAATGCGAACGTTGAAGAGTAAAATATAAAATACTGAAGTATCTTACATCTGGGAGTTATAAACATTGCAATTCTAAAAAACTGATAAATTGTGGACGCGACTCTACTTTTATACCCGTACTCAGTATATAAATTTGTGAAGTTATGTTTTATGTAGAATTTTAAAATATTTTACATTTTACATTTTTTTGCTACATCTGTTATCTACATCTACATCTATAATGTCGATTCCACATCTGAAATGTAGATTCTACAAACACAATGTACACATCTTCTCCGCAAAGGTCACGCATTGCACAACGAGTGCGAGCGAGAAAGAGAATGTATAGCGTCAGCAGCGCCGGAGGAGGTGGGCTACAACTGAAAATTCATTTATTTATTCTGGCTATAATTATGATCCGATCTGATTCAGCATTCTGATAGATATGGTCATTCTCTACGATACTGAGTTTTAAAATTTTGAAATACACTTGTAGCAGTGTGATATCACATGAGTCTGGAAACAAAATTTGGTTGCTCTAGCTTTTATCTTGATAACTTTGGCCAACTTTCCACTCTACACTGTGCATCTCAGCTCATTGGTCACTCATGTGTCTAGACGTTGATATGCAATGACTGCACCATCAAGTGGCCCGTGCGACACCAAGCCTAAGCCTGTTACGCGCGGAACCCAGGCAGAAACGCAGCCCCTCCTCCCGTTCAACCGACCGAGGGGCGCAGCAGCATGACGCGCAACGCGTGTTACCGAAGCGATCACGAGCATGCAGGAAAGATAGGTGTAAGACTAAAATTCGAGGAAAATTAGAGCTAAACACAACTCAAAGAGCTAAATATGCAAAGATAGCTAAGAAATAGTACTAATTATTGGAAAAGTATGTTAGTATTAGTAATTTAAGAAAAGCAAGGGAATTAGTAGTGGATATTTATGGTAGAGGGAATTGAAGTCCGAGTCAAGTTTTTGTGCTGAAAGAGAATGGTTTACAGAATCGAATGCTTTACTGAAATCAGTGTTAATGACATCCGTCTGCAAGTTACCTTGGAAACCTTGGAAAGAAGTAAACTCTAATAAATTTGTGGCTGTTGATCGTCGCCTTATAAATCCGTGCTGAGACGAAGATATAAGTGATTTGCAGAGATGTTGCAAATGCCGAGTTAACATTTTTTTAATCATTTTAGGAATAGGGGACTTGCTACCTTTCTTATGGAGCAGAATAATAAAAGATTCCTTCCAGAAGAAGAAGATGAAGATTTTATTGATAGGATGAATAGTTTAAACAGGGGTCCACACAGAGTGTCGGCATAGTACCTGAGTACACAGCCGGGAACTCCGTCAGGACCTGGTGAAAACACCTGCTTAACCAGTCGAAGATCGTGAAGCAGTGAACTTTCATTTAACAAGGGGCTCAAAATGCCATTCGACCTTGGTAAACTGTATGGATACGGCTGACCAGAGTAGCTTTCATGAGAATAGGTTGTTTGGAAAAATTTGGCAAAAACATTGGCAATTGCCTGATCATTGTTTGCTGACATATTGAGAAATGATAGCGAGGATGGATGTGTGGACGTTCTACGCTTACTATTTACGAAGCTGTAAAACTGTCCTGTGAAAATCGTATCGTTATCGTTCGTTAAGAACGGAGAAATTTAACCGAGATATTACATAGCGAGAGAGAGAAGAGGGAGAACCAACTTCTCGAAATTTTTTTATAAAGTCTTGATTTCAAGTTGTTTAGACTGGATAACTCTTTGGTAAGCCAAGGAGGCTTTCCAGATCTAACCGGACAAGAAAGTGGGACACAAGAATCAAAAAATGTGTCAAGTACATTGTAAAAAATGTTTGTGCCTTTCATATCGTCAGTGCACAAATACAGAGCGGACCAATCAAAATCCCTTATAAGGTTATTAAGCTTCGTAAACTCGGCTTTACGAAAGCAGCGGACACGTTCAAATAACCTACCCATTCGATCTAATACAGTAGGGCCAATATCGACTGACACTTCGAATGTAGGATGGTAGGAGTCTTCAGGTATAGTGAGCGGAAGGGCTCGGGTTAACAACGCTATGGTCGGATCCGAGACAAAGCACAGATCAAGCAATCGACCCAAGGAATTTTTCACTTGGTTGACTTGAGACAGGGATAGGTCTAGCAAGCCGTCGATAAAGTTACCTGGCAAATTTAAATCACCAAGAACTATCATATGGTCTTTATCTGATAACGAGGAAGAAACAGTTTTTAAAGCGGACAGGTGACGCTCGTATATTAAGAAATCCGAGGAAGGTGGAATATACGTGCAAGTAATGAAAATGGAAAAGCCTGGGAGAATCAGTTTTACGCACAGGAATTCCAGGTCTTGTTGAACCTGGACCATGAAATTTTCCGACGTGAAGTTTGAGTCCACTGCAATAAGGACCCCACCTCCACGTCGAGACAAACGGTAATTTCTAAAAATTGTGTACCGACCTGCCAAAACTTCGGAACTACGGATGTCCGGCTTTAACCAGGTCTCGGTGAACACAATAACGTGGGATGAGAATGCGAGACTCTCAAGGAAAAGAGTGCTGAGCTTACTACGCAAGCCTCTAGCATTCTGGTAGGTAACTACAAAAGAGGAAGTTAGTTTTTTAGATGGGTGAGAGTAGAGGTGGAAGATGAGGGTTAAGATGGAGCACTGGTCTGAATGCTAGGAAGAGTAATGGGGGGCACATTCTTTTTCTTAGCATTAAACTCTTTAACCACCAAACGACGGCTTTTATTTGGCTTTGTATAAAGCCGTTCACATCATTGGATGTGAGGTCAAGGGTTAGCCGCGAGACAAAAACTAGTCGCTTTGGTGGGACTCCCACCAGTGCTTTTGGCACCACAGGTCTAGTACCTGTGATGCCAGTATCCGGTAGTCCTGGACATCTATTAGCTGGTGGGAGCGAAACTGATTGGATAGTTAAGAAGTTGAGTGCGGAATCGACAGACACGGACTCTACAGACATTTCAAACTGCATACTTTCCGAAGTGACGCATTCGGCTCCCGAATCTGCATCGCCAGCAGCGATCGTTGCCCTTGGAGTAGCAAACGTAATCAACTGCTGCACTAAGGGAGTGGTCGGAGCCAGTTTTTCAGATACCGGCGGACATGAGGCAGTCGTGCACTACGCTTTCGCAAAGCCAGCAAGGGATATGGGGCTGGTCATGGGTGATCTGCTTCTTGCAGGTTTTTCTGGCGCAGACGACAGAAAATTCCATAATAATCATAATAATGTCTTTTATTTTTTTATTTTAAGGAACAAAAAGTTCAAAACAAATAGCAATCAGACCAAAGTGCAGAGCAAGCAATGCTTAAATCAAACAACAGCTTATAAGTGAGAGCGTAACTGCACAGAAAGTTACAAGAGCGAGAGAGAAAGAACAGTTATTGAGAGTCAGGTGATAGAGAGAGAGTGATAGACGGCAAAAGCTACGACAAAGAGCGCTCAAATGTAATGAGAGGGCGTACTTACGAAAAGCAACAACACAAACATACGACTGACCGACGCACAAAATTAATCAACTAAGTTGTGTTTTTACACAGCTATTAGGCATGCACCCGCGGTAAAGATTGATTTTAATGTTAGTTAGTAGGAGAGTTAATTTAAAGATAAAAACACCGGCTGTTTAAGCAAAATAAAAGGACGTTACGGCAAGTATTCCTAATATACATACATATATAGAAATAGCCAAGCTGCGATCAAATAACTTAACATGATTTAAACGAATTTGGATACTGCAAACGGCCGCAAATCTATGTAAGAAATGGCCCCGCAAATCCTTTACTCATACAATTTGAGTTCGTGCGCCGTAAAAACTATTTCTGCAATTTCATTCCTCCAATTTTGGACAACTTATTTCGACTTCGACTGAAAAAAATAATAATTTTAGTTGAAAAACATACCCGACGACCTGCTTCATTGTTATGTAAATTCATTAGGCTTCGAGCCTTGGTAGTTGTTGTGGTTCGAGTATCCACTCTATCCACATAATTTCCTCTGTCATTGGTACTAGCATTAGGCGCGTCTTCAACTACAGCCCGTTGATTTTTCCGCTTCCGTTTACGTCTCTTGCTTTTACCGTCTGCTTGAAAAATTTTCGAGTTTAAAATCTCTCGATTAATTTTTTCCTGTAGCAAATATAAAAAAGAGGCTATAAAACTTTTGAACATGTATGGGGAACTTAATTATAACATAAGTTAGATTCGATTTTACAGATACCTATAAAGGTTAAGAACCCGGTACTGCAGTTACTACATATAATTTAAGTTATTTATTCTCGTTTGCATACACTTATGCACGTACACTGTTTACATTAAAATAGTAGTGCCGCAGATGCCCCCCCTTGTTCCCCTGTTCCGTGGCCCTTCTTGGGCACTTTGGAGCGACTTAATAAGGCAGTATCATCAGCAAATGTCGAATTTGTTGTTAGGCTGTTTTTCGGTCCAAGCACGCTGCCTTGCGGTACACCAACTTCAATTGGACGATATTCAGAGAGGAAATCTTTGCATCGTACTGCGAAACTTCTTTGCTGTAGGTATGACTCCAATATTCCATGGATATTCTGTGGAAGTAATATTTGGATTTTGTGGATTAAGCCATCTAACCAAACGCGGTCGAAAGCCTAGGCGACATCCAGAAAAACAGCGGAGCAATACACCCGTCTTTCAAATGCATTTCGTATCTCAGAGTTTATACGGTTTACTTGCTCAACGGTTCCGTGTTTTTCGCGAAATCAAAATTGGTGAGTCGGGATGTCACCGTTTCATCAACGCGTTGATGTGTAGGTGTTGTTTGATACGATTCAGGAGCAGCTTTTAAAATATCTTTGATAGGCAAGGCAGTAGGCTAATAGGTCTATATGATGATGGCTTGGGCTTGTCTTTTCCGGCTTTATGGATCATTGTGATGACTGATTTCCTCCATTCTTGAGGATAATAGCCCCATTTCATCAAGCTGTTGAATATCACAGTAAGGAAATACACTGCACAGCTCGGCAATTCTATAATCATTTTAGGGGAGATGAAATCGTGGCCCGGAGCTTTCTTTTGCTTTGAGATTTGGTCTTTAATGACCCTTGTGACTTCTCCTGATTTGAATATGATAGGCGGAGAGCTTCGGGATTATTGGTTGGTGGGAGCACAAAGCTATTTGTTGCTGGGTGTGGTTTGAAGACGTTTTCTAGAATCTAGATGGACGGCAAATGTATTTGCCTTCTTTTTGTTGCTGCGAGCCCACTCTCCTGTTTGTGGACGCAAAGGTGATTCACTCTCGATTGGTGAGCATACGCCTGATTTTGCTTTCCACAGTGGGAATCGTTTGCTAGTTGGGGAGAGTTGAGCTCGGTTTTTTTCATCTTCTAGGGCTCTGCGTAGTAGGTGGTTGGCTATTTTTAGCCGCTCTTTCGAGGCAGGTGATCTGTGTGCTTGCCACTCTCGGCGAAGCCTTCTTTTATCGCTTAGCAGCACTTCAATGTACCTAGATATACTACTGCTGTTGGAAATTTTATTAGGTGCTGATATTGGTGTTGAGTGTTTTGCCGACAGTGACATTGAGGATACTAATGCTCGACTGACCTATCAATGTCATCTTTACAATTAATGTTTGGGCAGCTATCAATATGAGAGCTTATGTACTTCCTGTATTTGAGCCAATCTGTTTTGCTAGAAATTAGAAAGTGTGGGCGTTCCGAAAGCTGTGGATGGTCGTAAAGGTGAAGTAGAATGGGCGAGTTATCCGATGATAGATCTGTTAAGTGATCTACATTAATTTGAGCTTGCAGCACCCTTCGTGTAACTGCAAAATCAATCAAGTCGGGTTGCTTGTTTGGATCTGTGGGTCAATATGTGGGCTTGCCCGGAGAGATAAAGTCTAGCTTGTTTCGTGGGGTTATGATAGCGTTATATAGTTGTCTTCCTTTCGGGCTGGTAAGTCTAGATCCCCAATGGGTGTGCTGGGCATTGTAGTCACCAGCTGCTATAAATCGGTCACCTAGTGGGTCGAAGAATGTTACAAATTCTGTTTCGGAAATGCAGAAGCGTGGTGGGCAGTATACTGCGGCTAGGTTTAGGTAGCCGCTCTGAATTTCAATATGAATTGCTGTTGCCTGTAGATAAGGTGTAGCAAATGAAGGCAATGGATAATGCCTAATGCGATTCTTGATCAGAATGCAAGTACCTCCTCCATGTGTCTTACCATCGGGATGATTTGTCGCATAGAAGTTAAAGCCAGCGAGGTGAAAATAGTTTTTATTTGTTAGGTGAGTCTCTGATATGAGCATGGCGTATGGTTTCCCCCACAGTTGCTACATTTTTTGGCAGATGGGTCCTCCTTATTTACGGGGCAGGCCTCAGTGAGATGAACATCACCACAGGCAACGCAGACTGCCCGTAGAGTGCAATAAGTTTTCGTGTGTCCATATTCCTGGCAATTTGTGCATTGGACCGGTCCATTTCGTTTGTGTGGTTCCTCAACGGTGATCCTCCGGTGCAGTAGATATTGAAGCTTGTATATTGGGTGAACTTCATTTTTACTTATATGCATACTTTCAGGTGTCAGTTCTACTTTGAACATTGGCTGGGGAATTTTATTTATATTTATTAGGTTCATAGCCATTTTGACTTCGAAGCCCTTATCGTTAAGTCCATCTATTATCTCATTGATTGGGACTGTTGGTTCGATTCGTTTGACAAAACCACTTAACCACTTGTAACCCTTTGCTACTTTTAAGTTGGTAGGTGTAGTAATTCATTTTTTTCATTTTCGAGGTATTTCGCAACTGATCGATAGTTTTGTTCGTCATTGACTTGTATTTATGTTTCATTTATGTTACCCCTTTTTATGGACGTGACAGAATGTGTTTACGCCAATTATATCAGTTATTTTTTTGACCAGTTGCCTGTCGAACATAAATAGGTGGCAGTCTTAATTTGTTGGCCTTGGGTGTTTGGGCGATCTCATCTTCATTTGGGACACTTAGTATCGCAAATCTATTGTTTGCTAGTTCTCGGTTATTTTAGTTATTTTAGCTGCATTGTTGTTCTTCACATTTTGTGGGCTCAATTTTCTTTTGATTTGCACTTAGCGATCGAGCCCAGTCTGAATTAACGCTCCGTTAGCGTTTTTCGAACTTATTGGTTGGGAGAGGTGGGGCTAGTAGTAGTGGGTCAACAGTAACGGGCGCTGAGCAATTGCAGTGGTTGTTGTCGTTGTTGTGGTCGAAGACACAGTTTTGAGCGAGGGCATTGTACTAGTTGTTGTCGATATTTTCAAATCGCTGGTTAGGCAGTACGAGTCGGGGGATGGGCACTGAGCACTCCATGACCCACTTTGCAATGCAGGGGAGACAGAGCGTGCTCTCTTCTCGTTCACTTGCAGTGATGCAGTTTTTGTTGGTACTGCTGCCTTTGGCGAGCGTATACAGAAGTACGCGTTGTTTTTTGCTTGCGAGAGCCGACGCTCGTCTTGTTGCTGTTGCCGGGCTTGGCTCATTTTGGCTTTGGTTACAGTGCTTGTGCTCTTTACCGAGCTGGTGCTCTTATACGTTGACATTTGTTCTTTTTTATTATTTCTATTAATCTTTATTACACGATTGGATGGTATTCATAGGCAGCACGATCACTAGTACCCATGCCTACCCCGAGCGCTTTTTCGCGAATAAATTTACGATTAATCGCGATTAATTGATTTTCACGGCGGAGCGATACTAAAATACGTCTGAAGTCGTTGACGGTTGACGGTTCTGATTCTACTTAAATATGGTGATTGATTTATTTCCAGTTTCTGAGTGTTGCCGCCTCCGTGGTTACCGTGATTCTACTTTTATACCCGTACTCGCTCAGATATATGAGCAACAGGAAGTCTCATGCAACCCAAAGCTCTGGAATGAAATCGAAAGTCGCTGACCAATTCGTTATCAGCTCTTTCCCACACTCCAATAGGAGGGAGAACTCTTGTAAACAAGTGAGTTCTCAAGATGAAAGCTGATCCCCAGCTGCGGCCGACTATTTCATCCAAGCCGAAACATCTCCCAAGCCTCCCACACATAGTTGAGTTGGGGAATTCACTATCATATACTATGTTCTAATATAAGTTCACTTAAATAAAAACATCCTTTTTAAAAACCTACTTTTGAACCCTGGAATTCTTATTATATATATTATACATCTCCTCCGTCGCAGTCGCACACTGCACGGCGCTCTGTGAAAACACTTAGATTGACTACAAATGTACGTGCTCAATTACAAAACGATGCTTCAGCAGATTTGTTTTCCAGACAACTGTTAGACATTTGTAATGGCTTCCCGTTGACAATTCTGGCTTCATAACGCTTCCAAATAATTTTTGCACTTTTGTGTCATCGAAGGAATACTTGATTCAGAGTGTGTTTCCAAATCTATACTATAAATATACTATACCATAATATTAGTATACTATCAAAAAATCTTAAATTTGGTCCGAAAGTGTGTGTTTGAACGCTTATTTCATTTCATTTTGTGTCATTCGGTAGAACAGAACATTTTATTATAGATTTTTATACCCGTACTCAAAAAAGAGTTAAGGGGTGGGGTATATTAGATTTGTGGTAAAAGTGGATGTGTGTAACGCAGAGATGGAAACGTTTCCGACCCCATAAAGTATATATATTCTTGATCAGCATCAATAGCCGAGTCGATATAGCCATGTCTGTCTGTCCGTCCGTCCGTCTTGTTGAGCGCCTGGATCTCAGAGACTATAAGAGTTAGGGTAACCAAATTTGGTTTCCAGACTCACGTGATATCACACTGCTACAAGTGCATTTCAAAATTTCGCCCCGCCCCCTTCCGCCTACAAAACAAAACCAATACGATAAAACTAAAAACGCATTATCTTTTCTTTTTTATTTAATTAACCATTACTATCGCTGAATGAGGAGTAAAGTTATGACTGTTTGAACTTATGTTGATGGAAAAAATTTAATAATAAGTAATATTAATACCTGTAAACACTCTCCGAAGATAACTGTCTATAGAAACCCCGGAACACAAACTGGGAAAAGTTTAAAAAGACAGTTACCTCGAAGCTCGCGAATCGTGCGGGCACAGTGACATCCCCGGAAGAGATAGAATCGTCCCTAGAGACCCTCTCCAAG